CGACGACGACTTTGAGGTTTTCCTTTATTTGTTTCTTCCACTCGACAAGAGCTCGTCGCCTTGATCGTTTCAAAGAGCAAGGATTTTTACTTTTGGGCTGTTCGTTGGACATAATGCGCAATGCGGCGAGAGATAAAAGTTGACAAAAGAAACTCATCATACGATTTGGGCTCTGGTTCTTCATGATCATCGATACATTTACATACGTAGGCTTCAAATAAATAATTAAAGCAGCGAAGAATTTTGCATAACAATTTGCCCATTGTAGTTGACCGTCAAGTCGTATCTGTAGTATGCAGAATATGTGGAGATTATTGTGGTGGACATGCAAATGACGAGGAGGATTTCGCATGATGATGATCGAGAGAATGGCCCCACCCAAAACTAGCCAGTGCAGATTTGGGAGCATCTCTGAAGATTTGGCTGCATCGCTCTGTTGTGGAAGTAAAGAAGGAAGGAAATTGCTCCTCTGAGTGATCTGAATAATGATTAATTGGATTATTGGGAAACTCTCGTTCTCGCCACTGATTATGCTGCTCCTATTGCATCCCAGTCGTCGTCGTCGTGTTTTGTGCTCACTTAAATCATTCGCATGACAAGTGGTTGGATGAGTACAAAAGCGAACAATAAGACCACCACCAACACACTCTTGAACCACTTTTGACACAAAACATAGACCCCACAAAACACGTCTTCTATTTATTTACGACGACGATTGAGAAGGAGAAGAAGAAGATGTGATTTCTTTTGTGATCTGCTGGGGGCAATGTGAGTCAAAATAATTGCCGTAATGCCATAATGTCATATGAATGGTGAAAGTAGTGGACGGATGAGAGATGCGATTGGACATCTTCACTCATGGGCCATCATCAAATGAGATTTTTCCTTGTAGAGAGAGAGATATTCTCATCGTTATGATTATGTATGTACGATTTGAGGATGGATGGCTGTATCGTTGGCCCACCAAGCAACATCATCTCATTATTGGTATATATGTACCATCTACGTGTGTATGTACATACACCGTGTGGCTCTGTTGTTACTCGCTGCCATTTACGTGGGTTGGATTGTGGTGATTTGGTAATGATTGAGTATCGAGTATCAAATTAAAGCACGGGTCACGACCCCAAGGACGCTAATGATATCACGATCACCATGTTTTTCTCTATTCTCGCCATTTACAGAACCTGCGAGCCACTCGGATAGGGAAAGGAAGGACCACAAGAGTCGTTTCGCTGCTCAAGAGGATCTCTTCCCAGTCATTACGCATTTACGATTAGTTAGCAGAGATGGATATTGAATTGACCAAGTTCATCATCATCTCGCTCGCACCATGCACAACTTTTTATCCCTGCACATCCATCGCTCCATACAAATATGGATTAATGGGAGACAATTTATTTACTCTGCAATTCATTAAGAATTGACAGTAATTAATATGAAATTAATGACGGTTGTTGAGATCCATAAGCAAATGGGTAAAGATTTGAACAAAAACATTGTTGGACCAATCTCTTCAAAAAGGAGACGATTAAAAGGCTTCATGCTGTTCTAATTGTTCGATGATTTTGCCAACATGGAATTTTTATGAAAATCACATTACCCCGTCGATAACTTGTCATGATGATGGGAAAAAATTGGCCCTGAGAGCACATTCTGCTATGACTTTTCAACAATTGGTGGGCCGAGATCTTTGAATGGGGAATTCGATCAAATATTATTGTTATTAAAAGTTCAGAGGAAACCAGAAGTTGTTGGCTGTTGATGGGTCTGAGTCCATAATTTACACATCACAACTTTGACAACTGGACGTCCACTCTGTTACCCAACGTACAGAATAAAAGGCGATCTCTTCAATCTCGATTCTCCTCGTAAATTACCTTTCTCACATGCACAGTCATATCTGTCATGCTTGCTCTGCTGCTCCTTCTTCTGATGTTCATATTCATTCGACAGGAGGACAGAGAGCGAGACACTGCGAATGAATGTGGATCAACCAGATCACTCGAGTCGTTTAACATTCAATTCAAGTCGCTTCTTCCAACTTTGACGTTTTGACGCTTGAACTCATAAATTTAGCAAGAAACTCATTCTGCTCCACCACCACCAACACCAACCCATCATCCAAACAACTACTTCTTCTTCTGCTGCTTGTCCCAATAATTAATTTCATTTTTAATCAGAATTCACCTACGCTAATTCAACTATGCAGGCCAGAGTCACCACCAATGCGACGCACAATTCACACTTTCATCTTCTCTCGATTATCATATTGCACCACGACTCGAGTAATGTGAGACGACCGGCTCCTTCTTCTTCTTCCAAATTCCAAAGGGAGACATGGGTTGGGAAAAATGAGATCTTTGGAAGAATGCAATTTTAACTTAATCGAAATATGGAAACTTGTCTTCACGTGGCTGAAAATCATTTTATGGCAGTTGCAGTGTTTACAAGGCATTTAATCGGCAATAAACCAATTAAGATTTGTACACATATAAGCATATTCCTGAAGGAGTATTATCTCGATTTATGTATGCATGCACTTATGGGTGCACAAACTTAATTGTAATATTAAACCGGTTTGGCAGTTCAATTCGTAAAGAAGAAAAGGAGAGAAAAAGAGATAAATAAAAAAAACTGGTAGGAATTCATTTACGTTTACGTTTGTGGTCTACCGAAATAAATTTAAAAAATGAAATGCTTTACGTTTCGAAATTGATTGGGGCAAAGTGTACTACATAACTCTTGTAACGACATTTTTGCAAAATTGACTTGTTTATTCGGTGATAAACTATTTACGTCGTATTTAATTAGTGCAAATAAATGGCAATAAACGGAGGCTAATTGGTAGTAAAGAATAAAATACGTTTATTGCCGTCATACAAATATTATACGATTGGACAATGCTAATCCATCCCCATCCCCACATGCGAGATCCACTTCTCATTTATTGGCTTTGAAAAGATTCAAGTCAAAGTTAGTTATATTTAATTTGATCGCCAAACAAACAGTTGTGTGTAATAATTGTTAATAATTTGACCTCTGACCTGGGCTGGTAATGGGAGTTTCAAGGGTGGCAGTTGGGTGGTCTCCTGTCAATTAATATCTAAATAAGTTATATTATTTTCTTGGACTAAATTCCAAGAGCAATTGTTGCAACCCAAATTCTTGTTGGATCTTCCATCAAATCTGCGCCAAATGCCATGTCGTCCACTCTTTGATCTCAGTTTTTGCCTCGTTCTGCATCCATTCAGACGACGAGGGACATGAGATGGGCACACTTTTCTTCTCTGATTATGAGACAATTATTATGCAATTTGTACAAAAAGCACCCCTTGACACTTGACACCCAACAATGGTAGCAAGTAGCAATGCATGCATTTTATGCGTTTCTTTGCATAACGTGATGTGGAATGAGTATGTTATATATTAGAATTGATTTAAAAGCTGAAAAGAAAAGCTAAAGGTTTATAGAAATAGGATGCGAGAACAATGCGAGATCAACAATGGATGTGCAAATGTATTGTAGTGCAATCATCAGCCCAGATTTTGTAAATTTTTGAACAATGCTCAGCAGTCATTTTACGTGGTTTATTTGTCGCGTGCCATCGTAATTCTTGATAACTTGGACACATGTACAAAGTAGTTTTTTTCCAAGGGAGGGATTGAATTGTGTACAAAATTTAATAAAAATGGAAATGCTACTAAATAAATGTAATCTACTTAATTTTGTGGACAGGCTATAAAATCAAGTGTGCAAATATGAGATTTAGGCACTGAGGGAAAAATGGAAAGAGAAAAAAATTGTGCAAAATGATAATGCAGAATTCAAAGAGTTTGAGCCCTCCCCCAGCGCCAGAGAACTAGATTAGTCACTTATTGCAAATGAGATTTGGCGTTTATTTGTTTGTTGACGAGGGCAGCGAGGCAATCTGATCGGGTCAATAATTCATTACTCGCATTTCTCTCATTTAGTTATTAGCCCTGCCATGTGCATGGGATGATGATGACGAGGGTGTGGAAGATGGTAGTGGACGATGCAGACCTGATGGGCGATGGACACATGTCGATGGCCATCCAATTCTGCAATAATACACGCTGCATACAATGTGGAAGGAGCAGAAGAAACCTAATATGCGACGACTACTATGTACCAGCAAACTAAGTAACTGGGGGCATGGCATGTATAAACGAGATTGGCGATTTTAGGAGATAATAAAAATGAGAGTTCGCCAATTCTTCATCTTCGATGTGGAGGAGAGCTGACTGAGAGCGAGTTTTTTGTGAGGGTCGATCACCACCACCGCAAGTCGTAGCATAGCAAGCAACCACACCCTACCCAACCAAAGGCAGATCTAGATTATCCTCTAATCTCTAATCACTGCCATTGCACCACAATAATAATAATAACAACGGCAGCAGCAGCGTCGTCGTCGTCGTCCCTAGAATCTGAGTCAGTGGGGAATCGCTACAATAACGGGACAGCAACCATGCGGAAACCAAAACCACGCAATTACGATGCCCAGCCATCCAACCTGCATATCACGAGCAATATTATACACACATAGTTCTCATAGCAGCGTCCTTACCACACTCGCACTTTCAAACCCATCGCATCCATCTCCCAAATTCCAAAAACAACGACAATTTTTATGATAAAGTCAAACTTTCTGAAAACTTTGAAATTTTGAATGTACATACATCCATCCAAGGTTTAGCCCTGCATGCACATGGTAAAAATGCTCGGGATTACGCAACATGCGACATCGGCGGATCGTTGCGGTGCGTATGTTGTGATGTAAATGGACGGCTTTGTGTATGTGTCTGTTTGAGATTGATGATCTCTGTCGCTGGGAATGAGTACCTTTGGTGTTGTCGAATTTAGTTAAATGCCACGTTACGCAGGTGGCAAAGAAGTAAGAGTAATAAGTGAGTGAGCGATATAGTTGGTTGAGGGTTGGTAAAAGGTAAAAGTGCAAGTGGTGCATTCTTATGAGATGAGATGGGGGATGGAGTGATACTCTTTCTGCTGCCGTTGCTGCTGCTGCGGTGGACTGAATGTAGTGCGAGCTACCTGATACGTCGTCTTTAGGTTGAGATGAAAGTGAATCTGCTATCAGTTACTCGCTGCCTACGTTGAGCAGATCAATTCCTTAAGTCTCTGTTTTTCACCCCAAACTAAAGTCGACGTTGGGCTGAGCTGACCAGCAGTCTCATCTCAACTCGCCTCACACGACAGAGTGCCTTCAACCCTTCCTCCTCTGTGCCTTTCCTCTTCTCACCACTTCGGACTCTCCTCCAGTGCGTCTCTTCTTTCCCAAACAACAATAGTTAACAAACCCTTGTTTATCCAAATCAGAAAATAAACAACAATAACAAACAGTGAGCTTGTGTGCTATGGCGAAATAGTCAAATCGACTTTTACCCACGTGTTCAGTTTTTAATCTCCCTTCGAAAACAAGCATTTATTTTTTGGATTTGGAACCGTAAACCAGGTAATTTTCAGTTTGGTCCTTTGTGAGCATTAGGATATGAAAAATTCATGAAACTCATTACTTTGGCATATATGAGACTGTTAAAAGTAATAAATCGGTTTTTAAGAGGTGTGTAAATTGAGCAACCACTCAAACCGCCGTTTTTATGGTTCACGGTGTGTTACGTTTACTTTGGGCAGGTCATGCTGAGCAGGAAAAAGCCGTGAAATCGTTGCCGTTCGTCTCTGGGTGTCACACTCTGTCATCTTTTAAGGGAAAAAGCATCTGCAGGCACTTCTTCTTACTGTATTAGTTTTCACCACTCAGGACAACAGAGTCCTCAGACAACTGGCCAATAATTCATCCGAAACACGACTCACTCATCGTGGCGTTGAAATAATGAGATGCGATAGAATCTCAAATCTTGCAAAAAAGTAAACAACCGACCGACTTTTATGTGTAGCGAGTGGGAAGCAAGGATGTAATTTATAGGTCATAATTGTAGTAAAGTTGCGCATTTCGTCTGATGGGAGACTGCCTAAATTCGATGATAACGTAATTTAGTGCCGCCTGTAATGAGGTGCAGAGACAAATATGTAAAGCAAAGTTTCACTTATTTCCAAAAATCCATTAAATATTCAGGTCTCGTCTGCAGCCGACGCTGCTGAAGAAGAGCAATCAATGACCAAAAACTAATCTCTAATCGCCAATCTGTAACATTAGCTGCAATTACAATTATTACAATCAATACTACAAATTGAGTAATTCCAATTTCCATCCAATTTACGTTGCTCATCATCATCTCACTCATCCTCAAAAGTGGTGTTCTTACATATGCACAAGGAGAATAATCAAGGTGCAAGTAGATCAAAATGTTGTCTGTTTCCTTCGTTTTTTTACGTCTCTGAGTGAGCACAGCGCTTATTAATTACTCTCTAATGGCGATAATTATGGGACAAAATAAGCAGATTTTACAAACTACTCGACACTACGCACCATAAAAACCAATTAAATATGTGGAATATGTCACAATATCGGCCAACCCGTGTGTGCAAGGAGAGGAAATGAGTTGCCAAGTTGCCAACTTGATGATTATTAGTGGTAGTCAGTCAGTGGTACAATTATCTCGGCAGCATTATTGTCATCATTATATGGAGTTTGGGGAGGATGATAAAGTAGTCGAAGAGAAGATGCGTTATAATTTCTGCTCCGTTAATGATTTCACATTCATTTTAAAGTTGCTTTATTACTCTGCTACGAACAAACGAGAGCAAAAGTTGGTTTTGTCGATGTCATCCATCCACCAGACCAAGCTTACTCCTTGCATTGCAATATCTGACAAGAGAGACGACGACTCTTCTCGAGATTTTGGTTCGATAGGGCTGATGAGTTGTTTTGTTTTGTGCGAAAGATTCGATGAGGAGGAGAAGAAGATGATCATTATCAAATATCGAGATCAAGCCAATTATTATCATTGCGAACGACAATTCTGGTGACGGCGACGACTGATTAAAGTTTTTAAAGGCAAAGAGCAGTTTCGTCGTTCAATCATTTCGAGTTTTGTGCGAGCTGCATGTAAATAAATAGATGGCAAGTGAAGTAGTGAGCATCTTTTCTCAATTCTCATCCTTATGCACACGAGTCTCATCTCGTCTCACCATTTCCCTCACAGGCAGTGAAAGTGATCACAGTCATTTTGCTTTTATTTTCTTGTCGCTGTGCAAATTCAGTTGTTCAATATTTTGAATTGGTTCCATTTACTGCAACCTCGACACAATGGTTCGCTGCCCCTCGCAGATCACGGAGAGGACGATAATATGCTATTGAAAAGGAGCAGAACTGTTGAGGAAAGGCTAGAGGGTAGGCAACAAAGGGATGATGGGTGAGAGAGAGAGATGAAATGCTGCAAATATTGGATCTCGACTAGAGAGTAGCAGCAATTAACAATTGGATGTGAAGGGTGAAGAGGCTGAATTGGCTCATTTCAATTATTATGCGCGAGGAGATGATATGGCTTAATAAATTTGCAGCAAAGTCGAAACTCAAAAGCAATAAACTTGATTCATTCATTGAGGCGAGGACTCCACCCGACCACTCCACGTTCTTGCTTGCCCCATGTGCACCACACCAGTTACCCACTTTATTGTAAGGATCATATTGCATGCAACAAACGGTAACAACAAAACAATAATAATAATACCATCATCCTCGTCGTTCGTAGCTCTAGAGCTGCTTTTCTACCATGTTACACACACACACACATAGAACATGCGAGCCAATAAGTTGATCTAGTTTCTAGACAGGCTGAGATGCAGTTTGGTCTTCTTCTTCATCTTTACCACCAGCATCATCTCCTCCTCGGCCAACCACACCCTGTCAGCTTAGGCTCCTCTCTTGCTGCAGATTATACTTTGTGATTGCAAGGACTATCCATCAATTCTTTCGTAATAATCAAATTCCTTCACTCACGTGGACCTTGCTCCAACTCAAGCATGAGCTATTGTACGCAATTTTGTTATTATTAAACGCGTCATTCACTCACTCACCGATCGTTGAGTAATCTCAAGATTACGAGACTGAGGATAAGCACGGGAATGGGATGACCAAGAAGAATCGTCTCAATCTCATGATATTCATGCATCCTCCCAGAACGGTAGACACAAAATGTGAACATGTCATCCAGTTTTTTATTAATAAAGTAATCGTCCACCAACAACAACAATGAGAAGACTTCCTTTGTGCTTCGCATCTGCACTCACGTCCCTATATTCGCACTGCTTGGGGTGGTTTGTGTGTGGTTTTGCATGTGCTTCTTACTTAGTGCAGATATGCAGTAATAGTTTACTTTTTTCGATCCACGATTGCATTCCAATTCCTGCATTAACTTGAACAGAGTGGGACTCACTCACTCACTCACTTTCGATTTTCCACGTGCAAAAAATTGGATCACTTGGTTATTTGGTCCAAGAAGAAGTTTTACGAGGAGAGCGATGGATGGAGGATGGGAGGGACCTTCCTTTTATTGTCAAGCTATCAATAGACGATAAAACGTTGTACGACGATCAATGGACTCACTTACGCAACTCTTTGTCTCCTTAACAGGACTTTTTGCATAAATTCTTCAAACTCTCTTCAAATAGGTTGCAATTCTGCCTTTGTTGTTCTTTTAATAGCAAATTTTTTAAAAGGCAATAAATTAAAGACGCGTCACTCTCAGTCCCTGTTTGTCACTAAACTTGCGCAAAATTCGCATCTCGTCGGTGACAAAATTCCTTAAACAAAATGTCCCAAACAATTAACATTGATTGGATCTGATTATGTGTGCATGTTCATACAAGAGTTGACGCATACGTACATACGCCTTATTTCTCTCTGTGCCTACATCCAATGCTGGCTAAATTGTCAATTAACACTTGAAATTCTACTTTTGTATCATATGTACGTATATTGCTGCAACAATCAGGGCTCATTGTTGTGAGTTGGGATGTGGCAGCAACAACAGGAGCTCCAACAGAGTAGGAATAAATAAATAAATAATCGCGAGATAATTGTTCTCGTTTGCTTAGGTCAACTTGCTTCAGTTCTCCCTCAAATCAAGCGACGGTGATGATGATGAGTTGATCGAATTACTGTCGCAGACACGATATACATATCACTGCAAAAAATCCATACTGGTTTTTTCCTCTTTTTTTTTCTTCTGGCATTAAAATTGAGAGACAAAATTGCTCCAATTAATTTGCGGCTGCGACCATCCATTATTTTACATGAAAGGTTTTGTAAGAGTGCATGCATAGTAATTCAGAAGGGTAAAAAAAAGTACAGGAATGAGTGAGTCCAAATTGGAGAGGAGTGCATAAACATTTATATTTTTTGCACATTTTTCTGCAAGTGCAACACTTTAGCAATTAAATCCATCGGATATGTCGCTATTGAAGAATTGTTTCTTGAGGGACTCCTCCTAAGTTTTTAAAGATTTAAATTGGCAAAATTTTCAAAGCTGGCGAATATTATTTGCTACAATGCTTGTGAAATATGTGCTATTTTGTATTTTTTTACGTCATGCATGTACAGCTTGGTCGAAAAATGACAAAACTGTGAAAGGAAACAAAGGATATATGAGACGATTTGAAGCAAATTGAGGCAGTGACTGAAAAAGGAGTTGAATCATCATTGAGCAGTCTCGTAAAGTAAACTGTAAGTGTGAATAAATTGAGTTGAAAAGATGGTCATTGGATTCGTGGACAATAAAAAAACTGAATTGGAAATCGATTACAAATAATATTGGCACTTCAAACTTGGCGTTTTCATTGATCCTCTCGCAGCCCAAGTAATTATTTGTGTGTGAGAGAGAGCCATTGGAGCGGAGACGACGACGACGACTTGGGCGAATAATGAGAAATGGTCCTTAAATGGACTGCTTTTCATGAGGAGATCGAGATGCACACAGAAAACTAAATGCCCTCTATGTCGAAGAAGACTTGCACTAAAAGCGATTGACGAACCAGAGCACTCATCCTCCGTCCATGCGAAATGGCTTAATGATCACTCCTACATAATTCTACATATGCACACACATGCATTTCTTGTGGAAATACACACTGCTCATCCTTTGACACTTTGATAACATATTCAATTTACGGCCACGTCAGACCAAAAATCTATTCAAAAGTGGACAATAAAATTGAATGCGGTTCACATGTCCTCATCCGTGTCACCTCCTCTCTCCTCTCATCCTCCTCCCTCCACTAAACGCACCAACTTACACTTTTCAATATCTCCTCGTGTGTACTTTAGGCAAGTAATCTAAATAATTTTGTAACCCAATCCACTGCAATTGACTGTTCGACATAATGGACTCGCTACATGCACCACTACGTAAAACCAATTTGTTGTGACTGGGACACCGCAATATGTAGATAGATACGTGCTTAATAACCTTGTGATTGATTCCCGATGAAAAAATTAGCACACCTCTATTTTTGCAAATCATTGCAAAATTGGTTTCAAATATGGCTAATTTC